TTGCCGGTGTGGCAATATAGTTGCCGTAACACGTATACTCTCATAAGTACATTTTTATTGTGGCTAGGGTTCATTCATTATCGGATAATATAGTTCTATACGTATTCAGTCGATCCATATAGGTGTTTTAATGACGTAAAAAAAGTTATTCGCCACAGTAAATTCTTACTATTTGCAGAAGACTTAAAGCTATTTCTAGAAATTCGCTCAGTACATGACTGTCAATTACTTCAAAGTGACTTATGCGCATTAGATGCTTGGGCTATAAATATCGGTTTGGACTTTAATGTCTCTAAATGTTGCTCAATGTCTTTTTATAGAGGTCGCACTCACTTAGAATTTAAATACTTAGTTCGTGGGACCTATCTTGCTATTGAAGGGAATACGGTATAAGACCTTGGAGTTTTCTATGATAGAAGCTTAAATTTTCATAACCACATAGATGCGACATGCTGTAAAGCTTTAAAAGCTCTTGGATTTCTTAAGCGGGTTTGTAACGAATTTAAGTTGATAACTCCACTAAAAGCTTTATGTTGTGCGCTTAACAGATCCATTCTTGAATTTTCTGTTATTATATGGAACCCTCACACCGCAAGCAATATGAATCAACTGGAAAGAGTCCAACGAAAGTTTTTGAGTTTTGCTGCATATCTATTAAAAATAGTACATAGACTTCATGTTTATGATGCAGTATTAAATAGGTTAGGTTTACAGTCTTCAGCGATAGACGTAATACCATTAACAATGTCTTCCTACTCAAACTTATCGATGGGTCGATCGACTGTCCTGAACTTTAAAACTTTCCTGTATCCAGATCCGCTCTTCCTATCCTTTCACTATTCCACTGTGTATGACAAATTATTCCCTTAACAAATCACTGAATAGGATGATGCGTATTGCCAACGAGGATTCGTCTTTTAGTTTTTAAGTTATAATTTGTAATATATTTTTCTTTTGTCTTATTATCTTTTTCATAGTTATTAGTTTATAGTTAATTTGATATTCTGTACTTTGGGCTGCGGCCCGTATTAAATAAAAATAAAATAAAATAAAAATAAATAATTGGTAAAACGTTTTCCAAACAGTTATTTCGACCGAGGCTACTAGAAGTTCTTAGAAACTCGGCTTTTAAATATACTTTTTAGTTGTACCATGGTTACATGGTTAATTGATTAAATCTAAACAATCTAAGATTGATGTAACTTCTACGGAGAAATAATAAAAACTGTTTTTTTAATGACTCAATTATTGTTATATATTATTGTCTTACAGATACAGCTCCAGTTCCAGTTCACAAACTAAATCTAAATCGTCGGGCTGTTTCCGACAAAAGTAATCATGAATTTGTTCGATAGTCGAAAATATTCCTAAGGGTTATATTATCAGACATAATATTATAGATAGGCCAATCTAATTATTTCGATTGATTCTCGAAAAGAGAATATTTTTTGTCCAATTTTTTTTCACCTTATAACTTACTCTGCTAAAGATGGTATACTCTGTAATAAATAGCCAACATTTTACGATGATTGTGATAAAATAAATTAAAAAAATATATTTTTATACCTTTAAAATTGTTTGATATTTTATATTTTAATTACAGCTCGTATTGATGCACCTATAATAAAATTAGGTAAATATTTATAAGATTTTACTTGATAAGTTGCTTGCTACCGTACGTTGGTTATTTTAACGGTATTTTATGTTATTTTGCAGAAAATTTAGCCAGTGTTCTACCAGAGAAAAACATTCATCCTAGAGCGATTTCAAGAATTAGAACCATCCGTGCATTTGGTAAGTGTTTATATTGAGTTGTAACTGTTTTTAAACCACTATATATCACATACATACATGTTAATGAAAATAACAATTCTTTTAATTATAATGCGACTTACTGGGAAGCAACTAATTTACTCTGTATTTGCCATTAAGGCCTGAATCATCTGGGAAGAGTAAGAAGAAAAATGACATTAGAAGCAATAACATCTTTAATACGTAAATATACAAATAGTATATATACATATGTATTAAATATACATTTAATATATATATTACAAAGAAATAATAAATAATTTACCGATATTCATTTTTATCACAGCTATACACAAATTTAGTAGTATAGATCTGACACAACGTGAATATTTCAGCTCATTTTTCTAACATACGGTTATGAGTTAGTATTATTAAGATGACAAATATTGATCTTTATGATATAGTTTTTTAATTGCTTATAGATTTTTTTGAAGACTTAAAGTCAATTTAGTTTAATGTCATAAAAATGTATAATTTTATTCGTAGCAAGGCTTAGTGTTCCCCTATTTCAAAAAGTGAATAAATAAAAGTAACACGATTTTATAAATAAGGAAAGCCTGTGTATTGTTTTATTTTTCTGTGGTTTAATATACAAGTTTATTGTTGTGTGGAATATTATCTTGTAAATAAAGAAAATTAGTAAGAAATGAGCTAAATTCGACAATTTTTTTTTTAGGTCAAAACGATCCAGTTTTCCGGAATTTGTACAATATGTGTCGCTTAGTAGCTTTATTTAGATCTATTAAATATCCACATTCATATATAGCTACTACTATGCTAGATGAAGAATATTGCGTTTTAGAGGATGTATTGGAACTTGAAGGTTTTCAATATAAGTTCCATGATGGTGAATTTTGGGAAGTAGACGTAGATAGTCGTACTCTATATAAGCGTTTTTTATCTGAGTTATAATAATTTTGGATCAGGAATTGTAGTAATAACTTATTTTATAGAGCTATTATTGTTTTGTTAAAACATTTTTTCTTACCACTCTAATTTCTTAATTGTCAAAAAATTTAATGTATTTAATAATAAACAGTTTTTATCAAGATTATAAAAAATATTTATGTATACATGTTTTACACCTCTACCTTGATCCTAAAGCGTTCTATGTGGTTAGTCCAGGTAATTCGGAGATGAACGGACGCACGAACACAGATAAAATAAAATAAATATAAAATAGTTAAGTAACACGATATATTATGTAATGGCTTGAGAATAATTAGGTTGTGGTCCGAAGATGGTAACTAACTGGGCATCGGCACATCTGGTTCATTGTCCCTAGGTAGGAGAGTCTGTTGTCTCTCCTATCTATAGGCTATAATGGTTTACATGCTAATCGTTGTAAAGTGCTAAAAATGCATAATATAAGCGAGTGGTAACGGGTGGCTAAATGTGACCGTTACACCATATAGCAAGTCCTGTTATGTATCCTGTAAGACTTTCAAATAACAATATATAAATAGCTGAGAAGGTATTAATTTTATAATGATGTGTTTTTTTTTGTGCCTGAAGACATGATTATTTTTTTTCTGTAGACTTATTTACTCAAGTAACATATCTATCGATCAGCAATCATATGTGATTCATGTACTTTGGTGGGTCAAAAGTTTAAAATTCAAAACGCTTCCATGCGAATTCGTAAATACTGTGCCCCACTTTAGTAATTTTTCACTGTACTAGTATATAATTCGCTTGATTTATATTGGATCTTGTTTGGACTGTACTGTAACAGGCTGTGTTGGAAAGATCTATTGTCGAATCAAAAAATTATGTGCATAGTAAATTAGTATTGGTCGTTCTCAAAACCATTAAGAAGATGATAATACTGACTTGTCAACATTGGTGTAAGAAATATAAGATATTTTCAGATTAGAAGCATTCAATTTTAAACAAAAGTATAAATTGAATTGTTATTTTTACATTCATTTGTAGCTTCTTATTATGGGTATCAATAAAAAAATGGTTTCCTATGTTCCTTTGTGTGTTGAATGTGGAAAAATTGTTTAAAAAAATCCTGGAGATCTCGTTACCTTAAAAAATTAATTTCAATGTCAAGTTGAGGTTTGGATTATACTAGATTGAACATACTAACCACTGATTCACATCGAAGCGTTTATTGAAAAGTGATTCTATCATGTTTAGTTATAATTTTATTCCTGTACACTTGTGACATCCTTACCCCCTATATATAACATCGTTATAAAACAAATACCTTTTCAGCTATCGCATCACAGCTAAATATGAATTCTATAATTTTTTAATTGATAATAATCAATCAAAATTAAAAAAATATATTTTATTATAGAGAAACATAGTAACTAACTAGAAACAAGTATAAAATAAGTAATAATCTAAAACTAGTAAAGTACTTGGATTTTTAAGTGAAATAACAATTATTTGTTTGTTACACTGCTTTAACTATTAACTTAATTTATTTTATTGGTATAATAAGAAACTACAAATTTATGTAAAAAATTAAAATACAATAAATTGTATTAGAGTTCAATGAACAATTTAATATAATAAAAAATTAAATTTGTACTTTGGTTTGAAATTGAATGCTTCTAATCTAAAAATATCTTATTTTTCTTACACCAGTTTTGACATGCAGTATATCATGAATACTATGTTTTGTATGTTATTATATAATTTGTTTAAAACCGATTGTTGTGCAGTAGTGTGGGCAGACCGAGTGTTTTTATTACAACAAAGAAAACTAACCGTAAGCTATTATTATGATTTAAAAGATTTAAAGTGTTGCAGTCCACATGCGAAGGGTGTAAGGTCCCAAACAATGGTCATCATTGTTTGGAGAACGACCAATATTTATATACTATGCAAATAGTTTTTTTTTTATTGAAAGTACATCTATCCAACACAGCCTATTCTAGTACAGTCCAAAGTGTTATCAGAATAGTTTATAAGTTGGAGGCAAAAAAGTAAGTCTCTGAGACAAGTACAATATCTATTAATTTTTTGTGGAGAAAAAATAAAAGTTAATTTTTATGATTTATAAGAGCAAGGGCACCAGATCTTCCATTAAACTATTTATACGGGTTTAATGAGTTTCTATACAAATATAATAACACTTACGTCACAATAATACTATATTCTTGATATCCAAAAAATTATCAAATAACATTATAAATAATATACATAAGCCAAAAAGTATTTGTATAATCGTGATAAAAATTGTTTATTAGTAAATACATTTAATTCTTGACAATTTGGAAATTAGTGCGGTATGAAAATTTTTTTTTAACAAAACAATAATAGCTCTATAAAATAAGTTATTATAACAACTCCTGTTCCAAATTATTGTAATTCAGAAAAAAATGGCTTAGTTAGAGTACGATGATCTATGTCTACTTCCCAAAATACACCATTATGGAATTTATATACGAAACCTTCAAGTTCCAATACATCCATTAAAACGCAGTACTCTCCGTCAATAGTAGCAGTGGCTATATACGAGTGTGGATATTTAATAGTTCTAAATAAACCTGCTAAACGACACATATTGAACAAATCCTGGAAAACTGGATCGTTTTGACCTTAAAAAAAAAATTACCGAATTTACCTTATTTCATACAACGATACACTTGTAAAAAAAATCATAGAAAAATAAAACAATATACAGGGTTTCTATATTTTAAAATCTTGTTACTTTTGTTCATTAACTTTGTGAAATAGGGAAAGTCTAGGCCTTAATATGAACAAAATTATTCTCCGGATATAACTTTAAAGATAATTTGTAAGAAATATAATTGGTTAATTACAATTGACATCAAGCCCAAAAAGTATCTATTGGCGATCAAATAACTATATCATAAAGGTAAAAATATGTTGTCTTAATAATACTAACTCATATTTATATGCTGGAAAAATTAGTTCAGATATTTATGTTGTATCAGATCTATACTATTGAAGTTGTGTATTACTGTGATAAGAATGAGAATGTCTGTAAATGATTTATTATTTATTTATAATATATATATTAAATGTATATTTAATATATATATGTATATATACTATTTGTATATTTACGTATTAAAGATGTTATAGCTTCTAAAGTCATTTCTCTTCTTGCTTTTCCCAATGTAGTCAGGTCTTAATAGCAAATAAAAAATAAATTAGTTTCTTCCAAGTGAATCGCATTACATTTAAAAAAAACTGTTATTTTTATTAACATACATATAATATATATAGTGGTTTAAAAACCATTACAAATATACAATATAAACACTTACTAAATGCACGGATGATTCTATTTCTTGAAACTGCTCTAGGATGACGTCTTCTCTCATATAAAACACTGGCTAAATTGTCTGCAAAAAAAACATATAATACCAAGTTGATAATAGGTAATGAAAATACAAAGAAAATTGTTGCTCATTATTTCATCGCAAACATATTACATAAGTGTAATTTTACCAATTATTGTAGAACCTACCATTAGTACCTAAAATATATTATTTATGAACTTCTCTTTTTTCAATGTAGTTATATGACTCAAAGTAAGAATTAATTTAGTTAGCCTTATTTCTACGTTTTCAAGAGTATAATACTTTTTTTAATTCCCAATATACCTTGGTAAAAAAACCCGGCAAGGCGTATAGAATAACCAACGTACTGTACGGTAATAGGCAATTTACCAAGCAAAACCTCAGGAATATTCATATAGACTTGTGATTACCTAATTTTATTGTAGGTGCATCAATACGTGCTGTAATCAAAATATAGAATATCAAACAATTTTAAGAGTATAAAAATATTTTTAGAATTGTTATCCATCACAATCATCTTAATATTGAAAATACTTAGTCCATACAACCAATGTAAGAACTTCTAGTAGTCTCATTTGAATTAAAGATTTGGAAAATGTTTTGACGCTCATCAAAAAACATCAATTTCAATATCTATAGTGTCATTTTGTTATGGTAAAAAGTTTAGTTTTTTACAATAATTGAAACGACAACTTGAATAGGATTATACCTTCTATAGCGGAGTTATGAAGTGTTTAGACAAAAAATATCCTCTTTTCGAGAATTAATTGAAATAATTCGATTAACCTATATATTAAATGTTTGTCTGATAATCTAACTCTAAAGGGATATTAACATCTATCAAATAAATTCATGATTACTTTTGTCGGAATTAGGCGGACGATTTAGATCTAGACTCAGAATTGGAACTGTATCTGTAAAAAAATATTGTATTATAACTTTAACTCAGTACAACTAAAATGTATAATTAAAAGCCGAGTTAAAATCAAATATTTTAATTACGGTCGGTCGTCAAAGTTAAAAGCAAAAACCATTTGCCTTATAACTTTGAACTCGAATAAAGTTGTATTTCGTATGGAAGTAATTATAAATATTGGAAAAATTATTGTTCGCATTGTAATATATAAATATCAAATGTATTTATCAAAAGTATTTTATAAAATTGTAAGCACAGAATAATACAATTTCATTTATATATAAATATATAATTTGTAATATATCATATTTATTTAATAAACGTGAGTCATATACACTGGTATATGGACTAATAAGAAATACACTAATGGTAATACACTACATACCCACTGCACGGATTTTAGTGTCAGGAACGAAACATTCGAATTTAGAAAAAAAACTGGTCGTAACAAGACAACTCCAGCTCAGCTCAGTTCATCGAGCCCTTCCTTCACATTCAGTCGTCGGTCAGGACGTGAGATTCAGTCAGGTTTTGTGTGTTTTCAGTGGGATTGCGTTCAAACCGACAACCATTTATTTTATTTAAATATTTTTTTTCGTTTTACAACTTCTATCTGGTGCTTAAGCAATTAGAATACAAATACAGATAAAAGACCAGCGGCAATTTTGGTCGCTTTCTTTTTAAAGTGGTGCCTTGATAACCGTTGAGCTTAACTGCTGGCTCCGCACCTGATTTATCTTGGGATGAATAATCATACGGTCTTGGCTATTTCAGCAAGCGAGTTGTGCACATTCGAAAATTAAGGGTTATTTAATTAGTGCTTATAAGTTTGCTTATCGTTTGTCTTCCAGCCTGAACACGTGTAGTATTGATAGGCGCTAAACGCCAGCAGTCTAGCACAGCACAAGAAGGTAGATAAACATACTATAAGCGCTCCAGCCAGTCCGAGTTATCCAAGTGATATGTGTCTTTGACAATACAGGCTTTGGGAAGGTTGTAAGAAGGCAGTTAATTATAAATACATATAATTCACTTGGTTGCAAATTACAATTTATGTAATTATTAAGGATGCATTATGCATTAAATATCTGATATTAGGACATATTATCTTAAAAGACAATACCATAAGAGTACAATATGCCCACAGTGTTTTTGATAAAGTATTTAATTAACACTACTCTACAAAAGAAGATACAATTGACGGAGAAGAGATTTATCCAGATCGTCGCAGAATCTACTAAAGGTGCAAAAAATTAATTTATCACAACAACATATAAGTAATAATAGAATTTAGGATGATTTAGGATAATAAAGATAGGATATTTAAATAACACTCCCCTGTACAACTCTTACAACCAAACCACCATAACATAACCATCACCCTTTTCATTACTTTTTTTTTAACATCGTTTTTTTTCTTTTAATTTTAATTACCTATTACAGGATAAAAGTGTTAACTATTATATTTAACAATTATACGCTCGGATACTTAAATTAAAAAATATATGACGCAATTTTTTTATTTCTAAATACTTAATAATTATTAATAATATACGAATATGTTTTTAATGTATATGAAATTGCTACTTAATTAAAAAATAAAAATTGATCATACAATAATATCTATATATGCGTACTTTACAATTTTATTCAAAAATACTGTTAGACTATAGTGTAAGAACTTCTAATTGCCCCGTTTGAAATAATTATTTGGACAATGTTTTAACAAATATCAAAAAACCTATAGGGTTCCGACTAAATTTCAATCGTATAAATATCATTTTAATTTTGAACTATATTATAATAATAAAATAATTGTTCGTACTAAACGTTATATTTTTTATATACCTGGTTTAGCTGCTTGCATAGCTTCCTGATACTTTCGCCTATCTAATATTCAAAATAAAACTAAATGTAATGTAAGTTATGTATAATGGTAGAAATCAATATCAAAAATACATGATTCCCTTTAATACAATTATAAAAAAAAGAAACTATAAAAACACTGTTTTTATAATTTCTCTATAACATTAACTTTAAACTGAAATTGTTTAAATTTAACTAAGCAATGTGATCTATTGTACATTTTTTCGTTAAATTTATTTTTGTTTACCTGTTACAGCAAGTATTGCTAATTGCATCATTTTCTGGTACTTTAACTTTTCTAATGTTCAAAATATAATTAATTGTAATGTAAAATATAATTTCTAATTATTGAAATTAATATTACAAATATATATTTACTTTGAAGATGTATTATTGTTTTACCAGCAGAATTTGGGTTAAGAATTTCTAAAATTGTTATAAAAACATTTTGTTCTTAATAAATATCAAATAACTATATTTAAAAATTGTAGTTAAATATAACACTGTTTGATTAGTGCTTTAGTAGGTAAGTGTTTCCAACAAATATCATTTGTTGTTCACTCCACTGTAAAAAAAATAGGATTCTTAGGTATGTACCTTCTTCGGGAACAGTGAACGGATCAATATTTAGATCTGGAATTTGATTTTGACTCGGGCCTGTAATAAAATAATAATACAGTTAATAAAAAAGAGTTTTTTAAATAATTACCTGGTTCTTCCTATTTAAATTGAATTAAAGAACGTAAATTATTATATAACTAAAAACTACACTTAAAAGCCAAGTTTTAATTAAATATTTAAATTACGGTCGATCGTCAAAACAAGAATCAAATATCATATGTTAAAATACTGCAAGAAAATGTAGGAAAAACCACGTTATACATAAAAAAGCAAAATGGGAACACAGAGAACACACCGTGTCAGTTTTGATGTGGTCTTATTGTTCACATTGGTTCTAGAAGAAACTACAATAGAAATTATAAAGGAAAATAAATGGTTAGATGAAAACCTTAACGATTAACTATAACGAATGTTGTTTTTTGTGGTACAATTAATATAATTGTGCTATAATTTGGCTACAAAAATGTTTACAAAATGTACGTAGTCTTTAACCAATCACCCCTAGTACACCTTTTGTTAAAACTACTCGTAAAATAACTAAGTGAAATTCTTACTTATAAAACAAATGTACACAAGTGTATGAAAGAAATGAAAATGAAAAAAATATATAAAAAATTATCCCTTTCCTAATAAATAATACAATTACACATTTTACGCAATGTACATAGTGTACATGTGTGTTTTTTAGTATCCTGGTACCCATATTTATTGTTCAATAAAAAAATCTATATCTTTATATCGGTGACGCGAAATCGTTACACGAATTTATGTTATCCCCAGCCTGATATCATATCTACGTTAATATCTTGAACTTAATAAATACCAAATAACTATGTTGAAATATGTTCAGAAAATTTTAAGAAAATAATTACCTGGTTCTTCCATGTTATCAATATTCTCTGTAATTAACATAACTCAAACGTATTATTTCATGATAGTATATATATTAATATAACGTTATATTATGTGGGATTTTTGCAAGGCGTTGACAAGAAATTCAAAAAATTTAGTGTAGCCAATGGCCTCGAACTCACTATACCGCGTGCCCTACTGCAACTAATCTGAATAAAAAGTGTAGCGAAAATAAAATACCTTACTTCATACTGTACTAATATTGTGTTAACCTATACTGTTTAAATTGGTTTGAAATATGCTAGTTTTTAACTAATCTTAGTGTCTACTTTATGTTTTTGAGCTGAGATGAAATAATAATTAGCAAAACAAATAACCAAGCACAGTCTAAACCTGCATAGCCTAAACCAGTACATTCCAAACTAGTACGGTTTAACATCCATAGTATAAATCAAGTTCCGTCATAACCAGAAATGTACAAATAAAACCATTTTAGCTAGTGGAGTCCAAAATAGGACAGTATATAACGCGCTCAATTATAAACTAGCATCTAATTAAAACATTTTGTACTTAAACAATATTAAATGACTATGTTGAAAAATAATATCATATTTTACCTTCAGAATCTGTGTAATAATCTGAAATTAAAATGTATGACAAATTTTATTATAATCAATTTTTATATAAATACTAAACAAGTGTGTTACAACACATGGTAACGTTTAAATATAATAGTTTTTCTGAAAGAGTTTAAAAAAAAATGCAAAAGCTACAGTGTGGGCGGTGGCTAATAGCCTTGAACTCACTATAGCGCGTGCATTACTGCAACTAATCTGCGCAAGAAAACTATGTTAATTTTTATCTAGTTGTTTACATTATGTTTGAGCTAATATGAGATAAAAATAAACAAAAAGTAGAGTATAAATCAAGTTCCGCCGTAACCAGTATTGTACAAATAAAGTTTTAGCCAGTGCAATCAAAATAGCACGGTATTAGTCAAGCTCAATTATAAATTGGCATAAACTTATAATTAATACATTTCATACTTAACGAATATTAAATAACTATGTTGAAATTTAATATCATATATTACCGTCAGAATCTGAGCTACTTTCTGAAATTAAAATAAATAAATTTTGTACATTATAAATATCAAATAACTATGTTCAAATGTGTTCATAAAATGTTAAGAAAATATTACCAGGTCCTTTCAATTCAACATCAAGTATCTCTGTAATTACCATAACTTAAATGTATTTTTTCACAACATTACATTGTATTATTATAATTAAAAAAAACTGTGTAGGTCACATGATCCCCAGTAAGAACGAAGTTCACATATGGTACCGTTTTATGATGTTAGATTTTTGGAAGGCGTTGAAAAAAAATGCAAAAAGTGTAGTGTGGCCTCGAACTCGTTACCTCTACGCGTCTACTACTACTAGTCTACGTAAAGATGTGTAACAAAAAACAAGTATAATTTTCTCTGCGTTCACTTTTTTTATTAGCACATTTCATGTAACGCCCGATTTTCTGATGATATACTAAGATTTTTAAAAAAATAACTTATGAAAAATTTTAAATATTTATTAAACTGTACAAATTGTAAGTTTTGTTTTCACTTATAAGCTAGAGTTAGGAGGGGGTCGATACCGTAAAATATGTGATATATTTGTTTAGAAGGTTTTTGTAATTATTACCGGGCACAGACAACATCAAAGCCATTGTCTCTGAAATTAACATAAAATAAAAGTATTACTCTATAAATATTGAACTTAATTTTGTATTTTAATATTTAATAAAAATACGGGCGTTAAATAGTAAACGCATAATATGTTATGATAATATTTGATAAAAATTTAATAGGATCCATTATAACAAAATTAATGGAGACCTTGGTAATAAAATCACTAAATTGAAGAAAATGTGATATGTAGAATAAAATATATTAATTAAATGACTTTTAAAGAAGAAAATTTAAAGAAGTTAAAAAGTAGTCAAAAAGATTTCATTTAGATTGTAGAATATAGATTATAGAGTAACATGAAATATTTCAGAATTTACGATCATTTATTTAGTTGTAAAATAATTTTATCTTCTAGCATGCTTTGTCATTATAATATGTTTATTAATTATATAATTTTGATTACCCATCTTATATACATCATAGTTCTCAACCATGCTTTTAATTATTTCGGGCATGAAATCTAGAAAAAACAAATAATGGTTTAAGTAAAAAAAATCTAGAACATTCTTAATCAAAATTGTGGATAAACATAAAATATTAATTAATTATTAAAAAAAAAAAAAATCTTAACTATAAAAAATAGTACGCCCTCTATATAGCAGGTCTCATGGAATTATTAATGGTTCATCGTGAAAACGTGATCATACAAGTTTTTGTAAAATGTATTATTAACTTAGTTTCATTATATTTTAACAATTTAATTTTAAAGGTCCCACTAGTCGCGCTTAATTATCAAATTCTTCCTACAGCAAACGCAGTAAAGAACCTCGGTCTTACTTAAGATAAAAAACTCACACAATCAAATCATAAAACTCCTGACTCCATCTCATTAGCCCTCTACTTAAATCTAAGCTGTCTCTCTTCAATAAACTAACCATAAACAAATCTTTAATCCTTTCAGTCTGGTCCTACGGCACACAACTATGGGGCACAGCCAAACCTTCAAACACTAAAATTATCTAGGCATTTGATTAGCTTGCGTCTAATAAACTCTGCCCTTAGGTATGTCATAAATAAAAACTTGCACAGTGACTTCAACACTCAATCAATTAACAAATTCGCTCCACTGAAATTTCCATTTAAATCTAAGTACTCATCTTAATACCCTAATAAAGCAACTATCCTTTGTCTACCATCCTAACAATTATTACAGAAGATTAAGAAAAATATGGCCTTCAAAAACTAACCAATATTCCTATATTAAACAATATACGTATATTATATTTCATGGTGAAGATTATTTTTAAGTATCTTTTAACAAGTTTTACTTTTTGCTTGCTTTATGTCCTCGTCTGTAACAAATTATAAAAAAATATAAAACAAAATATTTTGTTGTATAAAAAAAATGTATACTGACTTGTTAAGATAACCTCCTCAATATATTTATCTGTAAAAAAGTTAGATATTGATTTCTGTAATAGATTTCCACTACCTTATGTAGTACGTATAAAAATTTAACAATCACCTAATTCAGTGACCAAAACTTGTCCAACCAACGAAAATGATAAAAAAATACCTAAAAGTTTCATATTTAAACTGCAAAATTAATAATAAACAATTATTCATTATTTATAAGATTCAGTGACAATATATTTATTATATTCTGTCTGGAATTGGAATATTTTTGTTTAAAAATGTATCGATCTGCATACTTAATACGTGCAATCATTGTCTGTATTCGTTGGCGAAAGGTTTTTTTTTTATTAAAACTTATAATTTTTTTACGCATTATTAAAAACAACAGTAAGTTGTAAAATAATTTAATATCTATTAAAATTTAATATTCGATTTATCAATATTTATCGATGGCAGTTCAAAAAAAATGTACTGTAACTAATATATGCACACATGCTAAAATTGTATATAGAAAAAACACTAATTTCTACAGATCGTAAATTTCGCGAAGATGTAGGAAATCAAAGTTGACGGTTAGCTAAGGTTAAGCTAGATGAGAACACAGGTTTACTGGATATAGTATAACTGAATAAACGCTTCGATGCAAATCAGTAGTAGGGTTAGGCCTATCCGGATATTCGGATATCCAAAATCCGGATAGTTTTGGATATCCGAATAATTGATCAAATAATATGTCAGTGGTTGTTAACCGACGTTTCTCTGTCGTATAGTCACGGCAGCGGAACAGTCGTGACAACCCTGAAGATGGACTCTGCAAAGAGTCCTAAACGTCGGTTAACAACCACTGACACGGATATATCTAAAAATCATTCACGTGATATTTCAACCCCTGAAAGTTTCGACAAATACATAAATTTGAGTACTCAAAAAAAATATTCGGCTGGTTACAAATTAAATGAATATTCGAAACTATCCGAATAATTTTTAACTATTCGGATAGTTTTGGTTCTACGGATAATTGAAATATTATTTGGATATCCGAAACTATCCGGACTTCGGATATCCGTATCCGAATTATCCGGGTATCAAATATTCCGGATATCCGCAAAATCCGATTTTTAGTCCCAACCCTAATCAGTAGTACGTATTTTCAAACCAGCGAAGTCCAACTAATCACAGTATATAAACGATTTGATGCGAATCTTTGGATACTAGGTTCAAACCAGTGCAGTCCAAACCAAACACAATAAGTAAGTATTATAAGTAATTGATGAGTAGTAGTAGTAGTATTATTAAGTGAGCAAGGAAAGAGGGCCAGTGTATAAAAAAAAAAAAAAAAAAATACAAATATCGATAAAAAAATTATACCCAATAACAAATTGGTACTTGTTATTTAAATAATTATTAAAACTTATAAAAAAATTGTATACAAATATACTTACAATGTCAGAAGATGTGTAATGGGTACACAAAAGTTAATAATCTTCAACTACTAAAATAATAGCATAATATATTAGCAAAAAAACAATTATTTATGTTTGTTAAAAAAATTTAAAGTGATTTTTTTGCGACTTGTGGATGGATTTTTATATTGACTGAAACAGTAAAATTGAAATTGAATTTTGCAGGGCTTATGTCAATTTATTTACATAGCTGTATTTTTTTTAAATGTAATTGCATATTTGCATTACACTGACACAGTTGTTTTTGTAAACACACGTGTTATAGATGTACGCGCGTGTAGTCTTGTAAGGTTAATATAAATAGCATTTTAAGAAAGAGTTCTGGGTTCATTTATTTGTTCAGTTATCACGATATACAAGTGTAAATGTCATATTGTTTACTATACTCTATGTAATAATATTATATGTTATTGCAAATACTATATGTGTTTATTAATAGTAGTGTGTTAATCATTTAATTAATTTTTCCTATGTTTATTATTCAAATACCAAAAGTCCACACTCGCTATAATTCTATATACTATACATTATTGTGTGGTATTAGAAAAAAACTAAAATAGGATTCGCAACACTATAATTTGTATACAATATTAAATATGTTATTTAAAATATAATAGACAACGTGTATTATGGTAATACTCTGTCAATCAAGTTCACAATAATCGAATTCTAGTTTCCGTCATTAATTCTGCAGACCATCCTGTTACACTTCCGGGTTTTAAACTTGAAAATGTCTAGTACAACATTTTTCAAGAAGCATCCACGCACGTAATGCAATCAGAACATCCATCCCTACATCTCAGGCACACTGAAAACGAATTTTAAAAGGAAATCTCCATAGAAAACATCTGAATCCTGAATAAAAATAGTCTGTAGAAGAACTATGTCTCAACTCTTCCAATATTTACTACCTAGTGGGAGACTCCCTTTCGTGTACAGACGCTTATTTCATGAAATCAATACTACAACAAATGCTCAACTTTCTCAATACTCGATTTTCCAATCCCAACGAATACTAAGCAAGTGGAATCTTTTCTTGGTTTATCTGGTTACTATCGTCGTCTTGTGCCAAATTATGGATACATTCCTAACCTCTGACATCTCTTTTGCAACAAAATATACCTTTCATTTAGTCCGATTTTATGTCAAGAGTCGTTCGAGATACTCAAAAGTGTACTCACTTCAGAACCTCTACTTCATTACCAGGACTTTACTAAACCTTTCAATATGACGTGCGATGCGATTGGTTTTGCAACCGGCTGTCTTTTATCCCAAGGGACCTCGGGAAAGGGCTGTCTTGTACTCTTAACAAGGCTAAAACAAATTACAGTACTACTGAAAATAAATTCTGTGCCATCGTGTGGGGAATTGAGCAATTTCGTTGCTATCTGTTTGACCAAATGTTTAATATTATCACAGATCTTTGAAGTCTAGTCTGGCTTTTTGGAATAAAGGACCTTGGTTCGCGCTTTACGAGATGGATACTCAAGTTGGAAGACTACCAATAAAATATTTTATATAAATCTGGTACTAGAAATGCTAATGGCGATTCAACGAGTGGTAACTGGATCAGAAATAGAAGTCAAATGATGTCGGTGAAGAGGTATAACAGCCTAGCTACTCAAATAGACAATCTAAAGAACCATCAACCTCTCATTATGTTCCGGACATCGGCACTTATACTGAACCTCCATCTAATTAATCTTGTAAGGAATTCCGTGCATTAGAATCTGCAGATATTCTGTCTATAACAAATATGAAATATTGAGATCACAATGTATACAAACAACATGCAAAAAAATGCAAGTATTAAACCCTATGAGTTTTTGAGTGGACCATGATAAAAAAATCACCCTGTACGTGTTATAGCGATTGAAAAGTAAATGTTCTGACCTTGAATCAGTACAATGCAAATTTACAATCATATTAAAAATAAAAACAGCTATGAAAACAATTCACATTGGCACTGCAAATTGTATTTCTATTTTACCGTTTAGGTTGGATATAACACCCCATCCACAAATCGTAAGAAAATCACTTTAAAACCATTTAACAAACTAATCAGTTGTATTTTGGCTCATGAATGATACTAGTTGAAGTTTATTATTTACTTTATACCAATTAACCATCCTGTGACATTGTATGTATATTTTGTTAATTATTACCTTTGATTCGGAGCTGAGAAAGTATTGTAATTACAACTATGTATTTTTATTTTGTTTTTAATTGTTATGTCTGGGCCCATGATCATAAGTTCATTTATTAGGTCCTTGTGGGACACCTTGTTTGTGCCTATATAACCTTAAAACATTTGTGATTATAATTCTTCTTCTTATTGTGTGTTTCCGCCTTTAATCATTCAATCAAATTTAAAGCCATCTTTCCCTATCCTCTGCATCTTCTCTCTATTGTATATTAGGTTCCACTGCCTTTACCTCTTTTTTGATACGGTCCTCCCATCGTAAACGCGGTCTACCTTAACGGTCTTCTTTCAAATCGGATCTTCTTTAATAACCACTTTAATAAAGAGCCCTCTTTCCTCCAAGCATGACCAGCCCACATTAATCTTCTTCTCGTAATTTCTGCAATAATGTCTGGTATTTAAAACAAGTTCTTAAATTCTTTATGGTGACGTATCCTCCATTCTCTCCATAAATTCTTTTTCAAATTTTTCGCTCGTACGCTGCAAGTCTTGTTTCTTCCACCTTTCTCAGAGTCCATGCCTCAGAACAATATAACACTACTGTCGTATAAGGGGCATGTATAATTGAACTTTTAGTTTTTTGATAAAACTTTTGGGCCAAATATTCTTCCCAGGACAAAATAACACCTATTTCCCATTTGTATTCTAGTGTCCACCTCCATCTTAAGATCTCATTACCTTGCGTTATCATAAATCCTAGTTTTTTTAAATGTGACAATCTCTTAAACTAATAGCACTCCACTTCTATAATTTCTCCTTGTCGGGATTGTCTACTTCTTCGCCCAATTATTACATACTCCGTTTTTTTGTCATTGATCTTTAGACCACACTGGCCTGCTATATTTATTAATTTTCTATAATGCTGTTTCACAGTATCTAAGTTATTTTTGTTTATACATAAATGTAATTTTGTAAAGAGTTGAAAGCAATATGCGTGTTGAAAACTTTTTAAATCGAAAGCAAAATTATAAAAGCGAGCACAATAGGGCATAATGGTGATTGAGAATATTGTGGTGGGGAATCACAGGTCTATGAGAATTATTAAAAGTTAAAAAAATATGTAAATATATCAAGTGTTTTTCTCGATTTCAAAAATCAACGTGTATCATTTTTTTTTGTATACAAGTGTCCCTCAACCTATAAAATCTCGTAATTACTATTAATTACTAAAAATACATAATTTTAAAATCAATATCTTCGGTAGAAGACAATGATTATATGGTCACTATTTTTTGTACACAACGACTAATTGTTTATTATTATTTTTGTAGTTGAAATATGAAACTTTTAGGTATTTTGATATCATTTGCATTGGTTGGACATGTTTTGGTCACTGAATTAGGTGATTGTTAAATTTTTATACGTAGTACATAAGATAGTAGAAATCTATTACAGAAATCAATATCTAACTTTTTTACAGATAAATATATAGAGGAAGTTATCTTAACAAGTCAGTATACATTTTTTTCATACAACAAAATATTTAATGTTTTATATTTTTTATAATTTATTACAGACCAGGACATAAGGCAAGCAAAAGGTAAAACTTATTTAAATTAAAACACTAAATAATATAAAAAAAAAAAAAAATACAATTTAATGTCTTTTATATTCTTGGCCAATGATTATTAAATAGTTTAATATAAATTTTATAGCTATACAGTTTAATTAAAAACCACTTGGTCACATTCAGTGACTATTTAACCTTACAAGATGAGTAGCAATAAGAAAAAATGCAACAACCAAAAACATGTGATTTACTCTTATTATGAAATCTTTAATATTTATTAAAATTTTATTTGAAATTTTTTTACGTAAAGAAATAAAATAATAAAATACTTAGAAAAAATCTTAACCACAAAAAAATAATATACGCATATTGTTTAATATAGGAATATGGGCTAATCTGAAAGCTTTAATATTGAATTGTTAAAAAAAAAAACATTTGGTTAACCTGGCATTTATGTCGAGTTTACGATGAACCATTAATAATTGCAATATGACTCTGCTGTAAAAAGGGTGTATTATTTTTTATGGTTATGATTTTCTTTTAAATTGTCAATTTATTATTTTATGTTTATTTATAACTTTGCTTAAGTTGTCAAACCATTATTTGTTTTTTTTTTTTAGATATCATGCCGGAAATAATTAAACGCATTGTTTTGAACTCTGATGAATATTGGATGCGTAATCAAAATTGTATAATAAATAAACATTTAATATAATATTATAATGATAATGCATGCTAGTAGATAAAAATATTTTAAAAATCATATAAATAATCGTAAAATCTTAAATCATTATTCTGGTCAGGTGGCACTGCTGAGAGCCTTCCTATTCCTACATTATTGAATATTGTCACTGTATCTTTGTCATCAGACTTGCTGGTTATACATTTGTATAGATTGTAAATAAAGAAATTTGTTTAATAATAATTTTTAAAAAAATCTTAAATCTTTAATGTTACTCTGTATTTTAAAATTTAAATGAAATCTTTCTGACCAACAACGCTGATGTTACTTCTTTAAAGTCATCTAATCATTATATTTTATTCTACATACCACATTTGCTTCAATTCGCCGTTATAATTACCATAGTCTCCACTAAATGTATTATAACATATGTGTTTCCTACTTAACGTCCGTCGTAATACCCATTTATTTCAATAAAAATGAAAAATGTAATCCAATTTTAAAGAATTTTACGTTTATTTTATGTTAATTGCAGAGACAATGGCTTTAATGTTGTCAGTGCCGGGTAATAATCACCAAAACCTTTTATAAAAATATATTACATGTTTTAATCAAAACTTTAAATTTTTATTGTTCAATAAAAATTAAGAATTTCTAACTAGCAATTTTTTTAGAA